CCAAAGACGAATTCCCCCCACACTGAACCAACGTCCCCAAGCCGGCCAGCCACAACACCGTGAATTCCTTAGGGAGGTGCCAGTCTCATCTTCTTGAATTTCCCATGCTCCTGTTGGGGGCTAAGAACACGCTTATCTCCCTGAGCATGGCCTTCATAAGTCCATTCCATCACAAAAAGCCAACAATGCACATCAAGAGATTTGGATTTTCAGTAAATTTAGCATATTTTTAAGGATTGGAATGGCAAAACACAAAAGAGAACTATGAGTTATGGGAGCAGAATGTTACAGGCTAATAAATAAAAGAGAATGTCTCCTACAAATCCAGTTCAGTTCCTGGTGACTGCATGGGACACTTGGCAATAGCACAGAAGTAGTTTGCTGTTGCCTTCTTCTCAACTTCATAAACTAGCCTACAACTTGGTATTACAAATCAGTTAAGGAAAGAAGTGGAATGGTATAACCTCGTAGTCCTGGAAATACAGCCTTATTTCATCCTAATAGTTATTCCTCTCTGCAGGTGCTCCTGGCTCAACACAGAGATTTCTGTAAGAATATTACTACCTTCTACTCTGCCATATTCATGAGTTTCAGCAGATCCTGTCCATGCATTTTCAAAATTTATAGCCATAATGCTTGGAAACCTGAATAAATATGAAGCTATATTCTGACAAGGTACAGAACCTGTACAATGTAGCACAGACTCTTGAGGAGGAATATTAGGGATATATGGCAGGAAAGCATATATGTAACTGATTACCTTCTGTTTTTTTCCTATCCATAGCTCTTTCCTCTAGCAAATTATCCCCAAACATTTTAATCCACAGCAATTATGTCTAGTGTATGTACATTTTTTTCTTTGCCACCTTTACCAATTTTTGCACCAAATTACTCATCAAACAAGAAAACTGAAGTGTGCAATTTCTAAAAATTAATAACTGGCACACAGTGGCCAGCTAGATCTGGATCAAGAATGAAGCAAAGAGTATTTAACTTCCAGGTTGCTCCCAACCTGAACTGTATCTTTTTGTTCCTTCTCTTATTTTCAGTCAGCACGTCAGCTTCTTTCATTCTTGTTTAATAATACGCTCAAATGTAAAATATAAAAGGAATTTTTATACTTTATAAAGTATAAAACATTATAAAAACTTTATAAAAACAATTTTATTTTCATATTATTTCATAAAAAAGAAAATTGCCCAGAGTACAAGCTTCTCAACCAGTCTGAACCTGCCCTGATACATTAAAGCAAGCTTGATCAGAGCTGTCAGCATTTTCCACTTGAAACAAGATAACCTACACTGATTCTTCATCTCGTTTTTCTGTACTTCGTACCAGTTGCATCCTTTGAATGGCTTAAACCCAGTTCTTAATAAGAGCTTATTATGTGCCCATTCTGAGAATTAACTAGATTTCAGAATCAAGTATCTCTCTTCTTTTCATAGAATAATCAACCCAAAGCTAATAGGATTTGTATGTATTTTAATGTGACAATTGAAAAAAAAAATCCTGGTGTATAATTGCTTGCCAGGTTCAACAATAATTCATTATTTTCCCATGGATATGTATTTGTTTTTACAACAGGTAAGACTTTAAGATGGATGCTTGCCAATCATGGATTAAAATTTGAGGAAAGCAGTGACCCCTGCCCTACTTGAATGTGCATTTGTGGGAAAACAGAAACAATAGGAAAATGGTCAGGAATGCCTCAGTTTGGGGGCAAAGAATGTTAACTAGGCCTTGGATAAGAGATGCCTTTAAAAAGCTGCTCTCCGTTCAATACAGTTTTATTATGACAGACGGCTAGTAGGCATGTGGAATATAATAGCCTCTTATTTCACCCAGTGATGAGAACGGGAACAGGCAAGGTATCATGTGAATGTTTTAAACTATATCCACTGTTTGATGCTTTCACAACGGGCCCTTTTTACTGGTTGTAGCCTATCCTTTACCCTGCATTGCTTCTATCATCTCCAATATGACCTTGGGGTTTAGGATTTCCAACAGCACCACTTCAATTATTTACCTGACATATAGTAGAGCTTCGTTATATTGGAAAAGTATTCTTCATCAACAAATACAGAGCAATGCCTTTCCTCCTCTATACTTTGAAGGAACTATGTTTATTCATGTCCTGTTCCTATAAAAACCTAACCCAATTAATGGATCTGAATC